ACTTGCGTCTTCTGCTGGCTGGATCCGTGGTACAATGTCTCCGGGCGTGTTCTTGTACAGACACCAAGGCTACGAATAGTCAGACAACGCGTGTGCTCGTGCTCATACTGCCGCGTCAGCAAGGCTAGTTACAACAACACTTCCCAGGATGGTATCACAAGACGGTGCTATCGGTCATCAGAATAATCGAAGTGACAATGATGCGCGTTGCTGGTGCCGGAGATAATGACACCGCTCATGCCACTAATGTCATAGTGACAAACATCAGACTTGTGCCATTTCCTCTTCTGTGACAGGCGGCATCGTTCCTACGATGCAGGAACTCCAATGCAGGCCGCCTGGCAAATCTCCATATTGAGCCCCTGTAGGAGTATATTGTGTTTTGTGGGATGGCATATGATAGGATATACACGTCACGTTTCTTAAATGCTATATTGCACTATATTGTGTTGTGCTACACTGTGCTGCAGTGTATTCTATTGTATTGCAATGAGTTCTATTGTACTGTATTGTATTCTATTGTACTACTGTCTTGTATCATATAGCATAGGACTGTATTACATCGCATCGTATTGCAGTGTATTGTAGTATAGTACAGCACAGTGTAGTACAGCATAGCGTTACATCATATCGTAGCCTAGCCTAGCATAGTATAGCAAAGTAGAGTAGAATGGAGAAGAGTAGAGTAGAGTATAGTGTACATTAGGGCGGTCGAAGTTGCAATGGATTCTTTGAGAGACGGCTAGTCTTTGAATGGTTGCTGTAGAATGAGAAGTCGTGGTATCACTGAACATCCAACAAAAGCCACACCAGTCGGGGCAGGCCATCCCGAAAGGCCGGCATACGAAATGCGCAGCACCCATTTTGCATCCTTCTACATGTGACGCTCTGAAACAGTGCAGGTGGACCGGAATGGGTATAAGTAGCCCCCGGGCTCAAGATTTGGTTCGAGATGAACCAGGAGGAGAGAGACAAGCTGTTTATAGCCGTGCGCTATGCCGAACTGGCCGAGGCCAGGGAAGCGGTGTCGAAAGCGGACATGTCTCTGGGTATCGATTTGGGATAATCTCTATGTTCCCTTATTCTTTGATATAGAGCCCAAATCATAAATACGAGTGTTCAGTATATATATATATATATATATATTTTTTTATTTACATGTATATATATATATATATCATATATCCCTAATTATAAGTACTTTCGGGGACGGTTGAAATCGACACCTAGGAGTTGGTTGCACAGCACCCTGCAGCAGAACATGCTGTTCTTTGTGGCAGCACGGCGTCGCCGCGGCTGCGAGTTGCTGGCACAAGACTGCATCCGGAAAGGTGTTGACCTTTCGCAGATAGATTCTCACAATCAGACACCGTTGTTTTGGGCAGCAGCCCTTGGTAACCTGGTGATGATGAAGTTTCTGTTAAGCCTTGGTATGGAGATAAACTTCAGGGACAACGAGAAAAAGACGGCTTTATTCTTCGCGATCAGCAATAACCACCTGGAAGCTGCGAGGTATTTGATTGAGCAGGGAGCCTCACTCGACGTGGTCGCCGTTGACAGAACGACACCGCGTAAACTATTAAAGTCGATGAGCGTCCCAATTCCTGATCGCAAGAGGAAGCTTTGGGCACCAGACCCTCAAGCTGCATGTCCCGGAGCCTCTACAAGGAGCAGATTTGCAATTTGGGAATGGGGTCAGGAGGAGAAGGAGGAGCCGGAGCCCTTGATAAGCAAGTCAACTGAACATGTCGTCGTGGAAAACACGGAGTATCTCGACAGCTCAGGTAGTAGCCGCGAAAGTTTTGTGGATATATATATATATATATATGCGTATATCTATCTATCTATCTATCTATCTATCTATCTATCTATCTACATACATGTATGTATGTAGTTATATATATATATATATATATCTACACACACGTACACACACACACACACATGTGGATGCGTGTTTGTACGTATACATAGTTATGTGTGTTTTTATGTGTAACATGAGCGTGCTTGCTTAAGTTTCAATGTCTTTGGGACCTGTTTCCGGGCAACTCAGATATTTCGTGACGGACTCCTTGGGCGACTGCTCCAAGCGTCTCAGAAGATCTGAGCGCGAGTTCTGTGGGGACCACGCCCACCTGCACCAACATCAGCACTGGTACAAGGAGCATGGGGTTTTCAGAAAGATCTAGGGTTTTCAGGTTTTCCACCGCTGCACTGGTACAAGGACCTGCAGACCGAGGACGCTGCCGGCTTGGTGGACACGCCAGCGAAGGCGAGCAAAGAGCACCTGAGGCTGATTGAAGCCTTCGCGACCGGGTCTCGGCCTGGTGCCTTCACGCTCGCAGCCGTGTCGCAAAAATCTCGGACAGTGGCGGGCTACATCCATGCGTCCCTTGAGGACGATACCATGAAAATCAAGCATGTCAAGGCAGACCGTCCGCACCAAGGCAAAGGCCTGGGGGGTCTCTTGCTCCTGGCTGCAGAGAAACGAGCGCTCAAACTCGCATCATGCATCGCAAAGGCAAAGCTGAGTGTCCTGGACACCAACGGGCCTGCCAAGCGATGCTACGCCAAAGCAGGTTTCAAGGTGGCCTCCTCGTCCCGGTCGACGTTTCCGCCCTGTGGGTGTAAAAACAACCCACATTGCAACCATCGGAAGATCAAATGGTTGCAGATGGAGAAATGTCTCCATTGAAAGAACGTTTCAAAGTTTCACTAAAATCAAGCTGGTGTTCGTTGCGGTCGCACAGGATCTGCTCGTGTTTGGGAAATCATGTCGTTGAGGGTTTTTTAGTTAGTTTGGCTGTAGCTCAGGTTGGGGATCGACGGTTTTTGGCTTGTTTTCGCGGGGATGTTGGGGTTCTGGTTTATGGATTATAAAGGACCTCGACTACAGGGTGCGTGCATTCAGTTTCTTCGTGTTTGCGTGTTGGCATGTCTTTCTCTTTGTATCGTTAGTCTTACGGCCACGGTCTTGCAGTTGCGACTATGGTTGATTTTGGCAGCAGCGTGGGTGGCTAATTATTCTTTGAGTAGGTTCATGTCCTGGTCGTCCAGGACATCATCAATGCCTGCAGGCCTTTTTAGCCTTAGCATCTTGGAACTTGTGTGCAGCCGGGGTTGACAACCGTGCCGAAAAACATTGACAATGAGGCTGAAGATAATCAGGTAGCAGCCACTTCGTAGCGATTAGGAGTGGCGCAGGGCCTAGAGGTATGGGTGGTTGAACGCTGTTAAACCGGCCCTGAATGCCCGTCTGCTTACCAGGCACGGCACCGAGTGGAGGTGATTCGCCGGGTACACAGAGGGCTACAGGCTTGCATAACCGTGAGTGTTAAAGCTGCAGAACCCTGCACATGAATACACTGGCTGGCACGGCAAAGTTCTGATTCCGGCGAGTCGCCTCAGCCCTAAACCCTGCAGCCCGTGCGTCTAGCCGAAAAACTTTACAAGCCAAGCCAGCGACCTTAAATCCCCAGCCCCACCCTGTGCGGCTCGAGAGGGCTACAAACTGTCCGGGGTTTAAGCATTAGTCTCAAGAGTTGGGAATGAGGTCTTGGCCTTCAGGGTTTGGGGTTTCGGGTTTACTGAGGCTCAGAAGTTGAAGGCTTAGGTTTTGGGCTTCTGGGTTTGTGACTTGCGAGGTCCGAACAGCGAGAGGAGGCCATCACCGGAAAACATTCCAGATTTCTGCAGGTTCGGTTTGAGGACCTTTGCGACGTTTCCGATAGTGACAGCAAGCATAACAAACATAGCGGTGCGATTTACCAGACTAGAACAGATAGCGCTCATTGTCATGTTCGCAACAGCGGCAGGACCGACCAGCGGAAGAGCGTAAGTACGAGACAGCACGATGAAGTTGTCGCAACAGTGGCAATGCTGGCAGTACAATCACTCGTCAGTGGAGTCTGTTGTTCAAGGTTTAGGGTTTATGCGCCGAAGCCCTGTTCATTTTTTAAAGGTTGTCGTATTTTTGTCTGTCAGCACTTTGCGCCAGATCCGTCGTATTTTCTTCGCAAGGCCCCCATGACAAACTCCCAGACTCTTCGCCGGAAAGCCGAACCGCTCAACTTGACATGCGTGGCGCAGGTATTGGGTTTCAGCTTCAGTGATCCTCCGCCTTGCACCCCTTCCGAAGTTGAGTTTTCAGTTCTCTAAACCCGAAAACCCTCGGAGACCTCGTCCCTAGTTTGGAGGGCTTGCCGTAGGTGGTAAAAACACAAAAGAGATTTCAGGACCTGGGACAATGTAGAGGTCTGACACATTCCTGGCATTATTTCTTGAAGATGCTTGGTATAGTTCTGCTACAATGACCCCCCCCAAAACCCTACTCCAAACTAAGATAAGAGCCCTTCTAAAGAGCCTTGACAGCCCCCAGAGTAACTCCAATGACCAAGGCCCCTGTGATAAACCCTAAACCCTAAACCCTAAACCCTCAACCCTAAACCCTAAACCCTAAACCCTAAACCCTAAACAGAGACCTAGAGACCCTTGGCTTTCCTGCAGGCGTCTGCGGAAAAGCGCCCTCGAAGGCTCTCTCACTGGGTTTTACAATTGAAGGGTCAGGGGTCTTGGTTTAGGGGCGAGGGCTTAGGACTGAACGGGTTTAGGATATAGTGGTTTAGGGTTAAGGGTTTAGGGTTGAGGGTTTAGGGCTGAAAGAGTTCAGGGTCGAGAGAAGAGATTCCTGTTAGGTAGGTCGCCTTGCCTTTGACAAAAGACGATTCCTCGTGGAAGGCTCGCAGTCTTGAAACGCCCAATGCTAGGAATGCAGTCAGTCGCATCCGGAGAGGCCCCGGCGCTAGCCTCATATCATAAATGCTAAACTCTAAACCCTAAACCCAAGCCCCCAAATCCGCAAAGCCCAAAACCCCCACACTCTGAAGACGAAGCCCAAAGCCTGAAACGTCCAAAGCCTTGAGCCCGGACTCCTGAGCCCTCCACCGTTTGCCCAAGCTTCTGTGGCTGTTTCGGAGCACCCTAGATCTTTGCGGGGGGTTATGGTTCGGGGTTGAGGCCTTGGGATTCTTTGACAGAGGGTCGAGGAGTTTGGGTTTCAAACAACCCCTGACCAAGAGCTCTTAAGCAAATAGCTGACAGAGCGGTTTCTTCAATGTGAGAGGCGCAGGCGGCAGCGAAGGCCCACTGCCCTGCTACCGGTGTGCGCAAGGGCCTTTGCTTTCCGTCAGCCGTAGGTTTTTGGGAGGTTTCGGGGTTCGATAGTTATTGTTTTAAATATTATTTGTGCAGAGTGTAGCACTGCCTAAAGGCCATTTTTGATACTTAAGCTAGTATTATTATGATTATTGTTATGTTTGTTGTTATTGTTATCCTTGTTGTTATTGTTATTGTCTTCAGTCTTATTGTTCTTATTAGTACTACGTGTTGCTATTTTTATTGTTTCTTGCGTCTTGGAGGGGTGGGGTTTGGATCTCGGAGATTACGGACTTGAAATGCCAGCTGAGGAAGAGGAAGTCCTTAGTAATCATAGGACGTATCTTAAGAATCATACTCATGACCCTAAACGCCTAAACCCTAAACCCTAAACCCTAAATCTGGTGCTCAGGAGAACGGCACGAAGGTCGATGAGGCTCCGCCGAGCCCTGCTTGCGGGGCACTCGGGTGCAAGATGCGAAGAAGAAACACAGGCGGAAGAAAGATGGGCTTCACCGTTTGTGGTGATGATCTAAACCCAAAACCCTAAGCCCTAAACCCCGGAACCCCACATGATGAGACGAAGACCGGTATGAAAGTGCCTACAAACCTTCAAGATCCAGGGCCGCGGAGGCGATAGAAGTAGCAAGCAGGACTATCCTTGCTGTGACTGAGGCCAGCGCACCAAGGACCTCCGTGAGGGGTGGGTGGGCGGGGAAGGATGGAGGGGGGGGGGGGGGTTCTGTTAGGATCAGGTACGCTTGAACACGTGATTATGTTATGGGCATCATCTGCACGGGGCGGATTTTGCGCCTCTCCAGATGGGCACCTGTTCTGAAGAACTGTTCCGGCTGAACTGATGGCCTGAAAAGTCAGACTTGAATCAGGGGACCCATGCAGTGATCAAGTGTTTGATCTCGTTTCTCAATCCCAAATCGTGCTTGACTGCCAGAGTGTATGGAAAGTATACTGCACCTAACAACGTGCCTGCTACTACTGCTACAGCGGCTGCCACGGCTTCTACCAAGACGATGTGACGATGACGGCTGCTTTATTACTGTTGTCGTCGTTGCTGCAGAAGCTCTTGGCCATTATGTTGCTGCGTACGATTGCTTTTTGAGATATTACGACCTCGTCGAGCAGTACCGCCCAGCCCCTGGCCACATGGGCGATTTGCTTCAGTTCGTCTCGATGGATCCGAACAGCATAAAGAAGCCTGAGTAATTACCAATNNTAAAGGAGCCCAAAACCCTCTTCTAAGTACTAGGGCCCCTAGATTAAACCCGCAGCCCTCGATTCTCATTCCTCAACCCTAGAGCTTTCAGTCTCAAGCAAAAGCAATCCTACACCTAGCTTGGACCCTAAACCCTAAACCCTAAACCCTAAACCCTAAACCCTAAACCCTAAACCCTGAGCCTCTAGGTCAAAAGCAAAAAGCGCCTAAACAGAGCCCATCTCGCCCTTCTTCAGCCAGGCATCGGGAGGAGGCAGCCTGAGCACAGGCATAAGCACCCCCTCCAGCATTTCAGAAGCGCCTGGGGGCCCAAGACTTTCCATTTCCTTAAGCTCTGGTTGAGGGGTTTGAGGGTGTTTGAGGCTTCAGGTCGCGGGTTTTTTTTGCTGGTTAAAGTTCAGGAGTTGGGGTGTGAGGTTGCGGATTGGCGGGGTTTTGGAGTTTCGGATGTAGAGAGTTTTGGTTTAAAATCTGGGATGCATGGTTGTGGGCAGGAGGGGTTGGCATTCAAACGTTAGCTGTTCCGCGTCGGATGAGTGCATCCGGGTGAGGGATCTCAAGTTTCAGAAGGAGGCTTGCACGACGCATGCTTCGGGGCTCCGGGTTGCTCGCGGGCTCAGGATCCGAGTTTGTAGAGTCTATGAGCTGTGACGATGAGGATGAGGATCAAGAAGAGGGAAACAAGGACTTGAAGGATCATGCTGACGCTGATCACCAGCGCTGGTGGAAGTGTCTTACGACAGGCCGTGGATGGCGACCCTAAACCCTAAACCCCGAGCCCTAAACCCTAAACCCTAAACCCTAAACCCTAACCCCTAAACCCAAATGATGGTAGTATGACTTGCTGTCACTGCCGAGGTCCTCTCCTTCGTCCTCCGAGCTTGATGACGGCCCCATCCTCATCCTCGAGAGACGAGCAGAAGACACCGAAAGAACGAAGCACGGTTTAGGGTTTAGGGTTTGGGGTTCAGGGTTCATGGATGAAGGCAGTGGGAGGAGGAAGAGGCAGCATAAGAAGCGGCACAAGAACCACACCTGCTGAGTGAGCACCCAAGAGCCGGAAGAAGAAGAACGAGAGTACGTGGATACGGGTTTAGGGAATAGGGTTTAGGGTTTAGGGTTTAGAAGTACGGGAACCATTAAGAGTCTAGCAACCAGGACGCATGCAAAGAGAAATGACGTCGTAATGATCTGTGGGGCAAGAACCACATTCCCAAGCATACTGCTAGGAGTGTCACGGTGGAAGATACGGTAACTGCGGAGACGTTGCGTAGTCACACGCGTAAGCTCGGGTAGCAGCAGCAACG